TATTTAATTTTTCTCTTGTGTGAATTGAAAAAAAGTTTATGCCAGAAACAATATAATAAATTAATAACTTGAGTCTTGTTTTGTGCTTATATTTTTATGCCCCCGTAAATGAAGATTTCCGTACTTGTGAAAAAACTTTAGTCTGACCATAACTTGGGAACAGATGGTGATAGGGCTTTTATGTTTCACAATTGTATTTCCAGTTAGGGGACCCTACTTTGGGTACCAAAATATTAAATTTGCATTTAAGAAAAGCTTAATCTTCACTAGGTTGCCATACGGGGGGTATCAGTGTTTCACAAACACATCTTGTTTGGAAATCACCTTGCATGCAAGATTTTTTTCAGTACTAGATTTGAGTGTGAATTCCATCTCAAAGTCAAGTACATGTATGTGAAGGTATTGGGTAACTCATTAAAAGTCATATATATATAGTTTACAGATTATCAGACCCAAATATGAAGCCCACTATTTTAAGTACACATACAGTATAGAGGCCATATACACTGTAGTAACTTCCATATTTTGAACTTGTATTTCCAATGTTGGTTAACAGTATTTGGGTCTACAATTATCACATGTACATGTATATGACAGAGCTCCAACTTTTCTAACATGCCTTCCATTAGATGTTTGTCATTCAAGTCCAAAAGAACACCAGAAAAAAATCACAATTTAATATCCATTTAATTGTAGTAAATTCTATCTCTCCCACCACTGTCTTGAGTGGCAATATTTGGTCTTTATTTTCAATTTTGAGGATATATTACAATTTAATAATGTACCTCTTGTCACCAAATGGGTAAGTCAATAACACATCATTACCAGACAACTTTAAATAAAACAAATGTGCAAATTACTTTCAGGAAAATAAAAAAAAATCTAATTGCAAAATATTCAAATAGCAAATGCCTCGATATTTTGGTAAATATATATACAGATGTAACAAGAGGCTCAGGGACCAACTGGTTCACTTGAGCACCGTGGCTAAGAAAAAAGCAAAAATCAGTTTAGTATTGAAAAACTTAAATGCATAAGTGGTCCTGACCTATCCTTAAAAGGGAGGGGTATGATTTGACAAAATTGAACCTCCACTAAATAAGGATGCCTATATATTTCTGACTGTGGCCTTTTTTCCTACAAGTCTGAACTTTCAGTGTGGCCCCACTCTACACCCAGGGGGTCATGATTTGTACAAACTTGAATCTACCCTATCAGACAGTGATTCCACATGAGTATTCACCTTTCTTGGCCTATTGGTTAAACAGAGTATCAAATGTAAATATTTCAATAATGAAAATGTATCAAAAATGCATCAATTTAAATGAAGTGTTAAATGATGTTAAAAGGACAAAGTTCTTGAAACAACAGGAACAACACATGCAGTCTTTCATCAAGAATTCTCTGTAATTTGCCAAGACTCTTCCTTCTTCCAAGTTATTCACATTGCAACTTTTTGTCCAGACCGGCACACTCTTCTAACGAGATTTCTCTGATATTTATCACGGCTGTGTTTTCCTTATTTTCCAACTGCAAGATTTTTGTCCATGGGTCTAAAACTTATGATGTGCTCAAAGTCTATCAGGATGCAGTTCAAACTCCAACATAAAATTCATGGTTCCTGACCTCTGAAAAATAACAATAAAACACAATAAGAGTTTTTATAATTATCATTGACACACATAATCATGGGAAAACTTGGTAGGATGGAAAATTACTTTCATGAGTATGACAAGTGGAGGGCTCCCAATGTGACAGCAAACTGGGTTTTTCTTGTATGAACAAACCTGTTATTAAATTCATATATGAATAAAAAAAAATGTCCATTTGCAAGAGTTATTCCCTTTATCAAAAAAACCCTCCCTATTTTCTCACAATATTCTTTGTAACTTGCATGAATTTAAAAAAAAAAAATTCAATTAAAACTTCTTTTGACAATTTTATAATGCATCTTTATTGGCAAAGTATGGGGCAACAAAAAAACCCCGCAAAATGAACAAACACTAGGATAAATCTTCCACTGTAATATATATATATCATTTCACATTGCTACCTTAACAATTTTGGCTTTTTTGAAACCTAATAATTTATCTGACCCAAACTTCTTTAAGTTGAAAATCTTTTCAAGCTTAAATTTACACCTACTGATGATGCTTTCTATTTCTTTGACTAATCATGGCCTTAGAAGATTTCTAATGATCTTTCCTTTGTGTTCTTGTGCACAACTTTGATTTCCTTTGTGGCCCCATCCTAACACTGGGGATCATTATGTATGATAAACATATCCAGAGACTTCTTAGTCGGACAAGTTTACTTGAGCCTTATGCCCTGTTCACATAGAGAGTTTAATTAACAGTAAATTAATGCAAAGTAAAATAATAGAATTAATTTTTTTTTCCTTGACAGCTAAAGCAGAAGTAAACAAATCCAACACACAAAATTTTATTTCTACATTGTGCGACCAGTAATGCTATTATGACTTTATTTGTTATTCACATCATGTGTGCCGAGCAGATTCAATTGGCATAAAAATCATAGTGTTTGTTATAAAATTTAGTGATTAACATAATTTTCCTTTATTTTTCAACCAAAAATAGCACTCATACCTAAATTTAACTATTGATATGCGGCCTGTGACTTAATTCAGGCCTTATGCATGCGTCAAACTTTAATTCGAATTAGATTCGTTTAGCGTTCACAGAGCTAATGCGAAGTAATTTTATGCGCAGTAAATTAATTCAAATTAATCTTACGAGATTCGCATTAAATTCTCCGTGTGTATGCTGTTCAAATTTAATTTGCAGTAACTTACGTTTAATTCGAATTAAACTCTCCATGTGAACAGGGCATTAGACTTAAGGTAAGCTAAATTGTAAATAATTATTTATAAAGTAGATGACTGTCTCTTCTAAACATACCAATATATTTCTGCAGAATAAATAAAAATATAAATCTTTCCAAGTACCCGTTACATTTTCTTAACTAATAACCCCCCTCCCCCCTGGATAAATCTTCCACTGTAATATATATATCATTTCTTAATTCTACCTAACAATTATTGGTCTTTTTACCTCTGTGTCATCTGCAATTCTTTAAGTTGAAAATCTTTTCCTTTCTTTACAACACTGTTTTCTTTCTTTAAAACCTGCATGCCTCTAAAAATCAAGACTCTTTGTTGCTCTTAAAATTAAATGTACATGTGCAAATAATTCTTTAAAAACTACAGCATATTTTCTATTTCTCATGGTGACTGATGATTGAACAAAATAATGTAGAATTTCAGAAATTCTGAAATGTTTCATATTTAGAATTTGTCAATTAACTCTTTTAATGGCAATGGCTTGAAAAACGGAATTGAATTTTTTTCCTTAAATCATTGAGCACTTGAGCTAAAAACAAATCCAACACACACCAGTGATTCCTGATTGTGTTAAGTGATTTATTGTACAGTTTATTGGTAGTTAATTGAACACACCCAGTATATTGTAAAATTTAAACAACAAACAAAGGTGTTTGCTGTCATATAATTAAGAGGAAAGATTTGGTCTAATAATAGATAACTTCATAAAATCAGCAAATCAAGACAAATCAATGGAATCATCAATAGTCATTTGTCAGACTTTCTAATAACAGTAAGTCTCAATGTAAATGACTTATTGCAGAGAAAATTCAAGCTAAACTGTAAAATACGAGTATATACTGTACGTAAAGATATATCATTTAATTTAACGCCTCTTAATCTACATATGGAACATAAATTCACAATGCAATGGCATGCATTGATGCAATCTCAATCTCCTAGATACAAAAGTACAGAGATAATTCGAACTAGTTTCTTCCGAAGCTGTCGTTCAATAACAGCATACTGACAGCTGATTTCTGAGACATTTCCTTTATCGAATGATGGAATTCACTTACTTGTAGATGGAATTCACTTACTTGTACATTAATATAACAAAATCATCTTTACTTACCGGCAAACCGCCTGCCTTTCACTCGGCACTGTTGATAGGGAAACACATGGCCTTAAACCACGTGAGATTATCGGGATATAGTAAATTACTGGGAGGGCAGACAAACGTTTGCTCTTTTCAAGCGTCCAAATAATAATCTTTCCCAAAATTGAAGTCAAGATTATAATTGTGCTGTACATCAAAATCATACAAACGTTTGATTTTGTCAAGCGTCTAAATAATAATGTTGCAACTTTTTTGGTCGCGATTATTATTGTTGGAGTAACACAGATTATAATTGTATGATCGATGTGGAATATAATTGTTATAAATTTGAAACGAAATAAAAATAATGTGTTCGCATGGGCAAACAAGATTATAATTGTTAAGTAAGGAGAATTATTATAATTTTGAGGTGAAATAAAAATGTTTTTAAACATCGACTAATAAGATTATAATCATGAGACGAAAAATTATAATAATGTGTCCACATTGACTGGCAAGATTATTATTGTAAAGTTTGGATCAATATAATTGTAGGACAAAATAATAATAATCTGTACACATTTAAACATCGACTGACAAGATTATAATCATGAGGCGAAAAATTATAATAATGTGTCTACATATTGACTGGCAAGATTATTATTGTGAAGTGAATCATTATAATTGTAGGAAAAATAATAATAATGTGTACACATTTAACAGACAAGATTATAATTGTTGCAGGAAAATAATAATAATGATATAAAAAGCAAGTTTGAATGACATAATTATTTTTGGTATAATTATGTAGGAAAAAATAATAATAATGTGGGGGTACCCTACAGCTTTCCATATAGATACTTACTGGTATTTCATAATTTGTTTCTATTCATTTTTACTTTAAATGGAAATGAAAATGTTTAAGACACTTTTCTTAAATCTTGCCAAAGAAATTCATCTAACTTGCATTTTTACATTTCACTTAACAGTAAGTTTTTTTTTTGAAAAATAAGACCAAACAAAACAACTGTAAGAAGAGAGAAAAATTAATTATTATTTCAGATGACAGACAGGAATTTTTTCTTACGAGTTAATGATAAGCCCGTGTTTGACTTGACTTACCAAATCAGCAACAAATCCGCGTCAGGTGAAGTCAGGCCTATACTGGACAAAAACCAGGCCACAGGCAGTAATATCACGGTATGTAGTTGTTATTGAATGTCTAATATCACGGTATGTAGTTGTTATTGAATGTCTAATATCACGGTATGTTGTTGTTATTGAATGTCTAATATCACGGTATGTAGTTGTTATTGAATGTCTAATATCACGGTGTGTAGTTGTTATTGAATGTCTAATATAACGATGTGTAGGTGTTATTGAATATCTAATATCACGGTATGTAGTTGTTTTTGAATTTCTAATATCACGATATGTAGTTGCTGGTGAATGTCTAAAAAAATTCTGTTATTCAATGTATAAGTCATAAGAATCAGGGTTAATTTTCCTATTTGACGACAATGATAAGATGACGTTCAACTGACCATATAGATTTAAGGTGAACATTGGAATCTCAACATTAAGGTACTGAATACAATTCATGCGTAGGACTGAATTGAAAGTTGAAACCACTTATTCTCTATGTATTTTGACCTCAGTATCAGAAATCTGAGACATTTATTTTTCTTGATCCCATTATATTCCGATATCTGACTGTCGTTATGGGTGTTTGTTTTTATTGTTGGACAGGGTGAGTTCCGAACAGAATGTGACGATTGTAAACCAGACCTGAGGATTTCCGGACGTCCACTGACGTCCTTAATCACCGTGGGCCTCACACAGGAACTCGAGGTCGAGGTCCTGGTTATGAATTTGGGAGATCCGGCGTACGGGGCCTCATTTCTAGTATCCAATGACATGAACGTTCCTCTAACAAGTTATGCAGTATTGTTAGAGCAAGGCTCGGAGCGAATGACGTGCACAGCAGAAACAAACGGTACACGGTGCACGTTTGTTTCACCGCCTCTGTTTCCGCAGCAGAGGGGCCTGGTCCGCCTTAGATACGATGTTTCTCTGGACCGATTATTAGAAAAGGGATTACGGAATCTTCCGGCGAAAATCCAGATAACTTCTACAGCTGACGTAACTGGAGACGTTAATCCAGACAATAATGTGATAGAGTTGAGCACTAATCTACAACTAGAAACAACGGTACAGATGATAGGGTAAGGTCAAGGTAGAAAAATAGACACAGTTAATTAAATCTCAACTAATTATGGATCAGTGTCAAACTGTTAGCTGTCGGTATTTTTAAAATAGTTTCTAAGTTAAACTCGATTTTGAGAGAATTGAGGTCAAGGTCAAGATTTTTAAAAAAAAATTGATGAATTTTTAAAGCTCTCATAAACATGTAACTGTATGTTTGATAAAAATATCTTGAGTGGTTCTGAAAAAAAAAAATTAATTTGAGGTTAAGTCAAAAGGAAGATTAAGGTAAAAAAGTGTTCATGCATTTAATAAACCTTCATCAATATTTATCAGCATAATTATAAGTTGGATGAATATATCTTGAACAAATTCTTAAAATACTCCATTATAATTTGTTTTGTTTGAAGTTCATCGTCACCCGACCAGGTGAGGATGTCCCCACAGAAACGCTCCAAACTCTTACTGTACCAGGCCTACTCCATCAGTACGCTAGGACCCAGTCCCCTACCGGAAGTCAAGGTCGTCTTCAATATACCAGTAATCGCAAACGGCAAAGTGATTGTGCCCGAGTCAGAACTCAAAGTATGGAAAAGCATTTTAATTTATTGATATTATTGTATATGTATATAATTATGCATTTTTTTTATCGAAAAAAAAGATAATTATTGATAACTGACTTAATTCTGATTAACGGTAAAATATTTTTAGTTTACAGATTTGAAAATGTGTTTTAAAAAAATGGGAAATTGTTTTTTTTTAAATTCACTTAATTAAGTGAAGAAAGTTGACGTTAGCCAACAGAAGTTTTAACCCACGCCTGAATATGTGTATTTTACAGAAATTAAGCCTATATATTTTTTGCTAAATAAGAAAAAAATTAAAGCCAGCTTCATTGAAGCAACCCTCAACGATTTTATTTTGCAGTTGTCGATAGATTCTAAGATCTCAGAAGTAAGTAACACAAGTCTGAAAATACAAGTCACTACATATCGTTTTTCATAGTACAGTCAACGCAGAACATTTTCCATCAGCATTGAAGCATGATGCTTCATCTTGTTGCTGTCTGCTTGTTTGCATGTCTGTGTTATGCAAACGCTTGGCCTAAACGTGTTAATGATCATGACAAACCGATTAATTCCGACCCCCATTTCCGTCAAATAAACATACACGTCCTGGCTTTTACTAAAATCTGAATAAGATGTATTTTTTATATTAAGGTGACAGTGTTTACTCCAACTGACAATTGCAGTATGACGTCATTCCCATCAGTCGGTGCTGTGACGTCATCGCCTTCCGTGGGACAACCTAGTGTGATCATCAACCCAGATAATTCTCTCCCTTTAGTGAGTTAATCCATCCTTAATTGTGTTGTATATACTGCAGACTCAAATTGTGCTAAAAATAATTAGATAAATTGTTAAATTTTAGCAATGAGTTAGCCATCTATTAAATATGTGAAAATATGGCTGGACTGACATATCAAAATGAAAACAATATTAATTGAGCAAAATAAAAGCGAATGAAAGTCTTGAATAAACTCATTTAAACAATATATATATATATATATATATATATATATATATATATATATATATATATATATATATATATATATATATATATATATATCCAGTACAATGTTTAAATATATTATATAGTATTTTATATTATTTTTATGTGAGTACAAGTCAATTTATATTACTATTTTTAGGGTTGTGGAGAGAGTGGTGTTGCTTGTGCTGTATATGAGTGCGTGATTAGTGAATTAAAGTTAGATGATCTTCACGGCTTCATCATCAATGGCAATATTTCTGAAGAAAACCTTCCAGAACTTCAGGCGGTATGGATTAAACACCAACAAAGCAAAACATATTGTTCTGTATCCCGAGTTAAACCTTATGGATAATTTAAGAATGAAAATTATAAAATTCTAGTAGCAAAAAATATATATATATATATATAATATATATATATATATATATATATATAAAATATAACTATATATATAATGTTGTTTTATGTTATACAGGGGTTTATTTGTAGACAAAAGTGTCGCTTTGATTCAGATTTATTAGTTGCATTAGCCTTCGTACCATAGGTGTCGATATATTTTTTATACTTCTGAATTTATTAATTATCAGCTTAGTAATTATTCGAAACTGATCAAAATTCGGAACTGGTCAAACGACTGTTGGTTCCTTTTTTAAAACTGAATTTGACTACGGAACGTTCAGTATACCTAATCAGTGCATAGGAATCACGGTGGGTTTGACCGGTAAACAGGGGATGCTTACTCCTCCTAGGCCCCTGATCCCACCTATTAAACCCATTTTACGGTTTGGTTTTGTTTATGTATATTTGTTCCAAAGAGATAGACTAAACCATATCGTAATGCTCCGTCTTAAGTAATGACGCGGATTTAAAAAAAAAATACTTTCTATAAAAAACCCCGACTATTTCATAAGACACTACCACTACATTGTACTTTTCTTTGGTGGAATGCAGTTAAGCATACTGAATGATATGTATTTTTCTGATAAAACGTTAAGGTAGCTTACAGCTAATAGAAATACTTAGAATGTTGTTTTATGTTCGCTGTCGTAAAGACATAATATGTGGGATTCAATTTCTTGCATTAAAGCGAAAGTTGCCAACGATATAAGCCTGAATTTATTAATTATCAGTAATAAATAAATGATTAAAATTTGCGATATTGTTCTGTGGAAAAAAATTCTTTTAAAATTTCAGTTACATAATTTTAGCAAGTAACTTTACGTACGACCACTCTTCAAATTGAACATTTTACTTTTCGGGTTCTGTGTGATGTAATTTCTTCAAGGGACTAGGCCCAGTGTCACAATATAAGTGGGCATTTATTATTAGGAGTTTTAAATACTCAACGTTTCAAAATTTTAAATTTCTTTTGAGTCTCATATATGATTTTTCTAAATTTACAGGGGCAATCAAATGTAATTCACCGCATTCAGAATATATCGTGATTTTTTGTATAAAAAAATTGGTTTCCAATAAGTATTTACAGTTACCATAATTTTAGCAAGCTTTTCCACTTTGAATACTTCTAGAAACTACAAATTACTTTTTTCACCGATTACTCGTGTTTATATGAAGAAGGAGTCTAGATTTAAAGAAAATAATTTAAAGAATATGTAGGATGTGGAACTGAAAAAGTTGATGCAGATGGTACTATGAAGATCAAACATTCGACTGAAGTTAGCTTCCAATGTCAGCTTCTCAGTATGATTTCATCCTTTTTCTACTCCAAACGTCCGCAGTAGATGCTGGCACGAAAGAGATCCCTTTAAATACTGCGCAGTAGCCTTGAGTGCCAAAATTTGCAACTCTCCGAATTCTTGTGATGTCTCTATATAAGGAAAACCTTTTCTAACGAAATTTACAATAAATAAAGCAATCAAATGTAATAAAACACAACACCGCATTCAGAATTAACAATAGTTTTACAAATACGTAATTTTTTTTTGATCTGTATTATTACATCCACTAACAATAGTTTTCTCCTTTATTTTTTAAATAATTAAAATTCGCTTATCACTGCATAAATACAGTAGTGCATGTCGCCTGAAGAAAAATTTCGTATGGCTGTTTCAATTTGCAAATACATTTTTCATAATTTCAAAATTATTTTAAGATCCTACTTTAAAAAAATAAACAGATATAAATATAAACAATGCAATATATATTTTTTTTGTTAAACTCATTATTACACGTGCTGCCAATCTTTCCAAAAAATTTACATAACCCCCTTACGAACAACCTGTGGCCCCTGATTGTGGGTCTGGCAACAGCTGTCCTTCATTCCAGTAACAACAAACAAAGAAAGCATTTTATTGTTTAAATAAATACTGTTAGAAATTGTTAAATTGTCAACTATTTTAGTACGATTAACTTTATTTTTACGAACACTGCTTATAATCTGTTGAATCAATGCTCTTTAATTATGAATAAAGTATCTTGTTCTCTAGAAATTCTACAAATTACTTTTGAATGTCTCTGAAAGAGTTACTCAGAGTAATTCGCCTATCCATGAAGGGAAGCGATCTGATTAAATTTGAAAGAAAAGGCTAATTTAACGTTTATTATTAGGAGTTGTGGAACTATTTTAAATTTCAGGGCATTACTCAGATACGGTACTATACAACTGGGGCAGTCTATCCCTCAGAAACATTAAAAGTTCCCCTGAAGTTAGCTTCCAATGTCAGCTTCTCAGTATGTATTTCATCTTTTTCTACTCCAAACTTCTTAGTTTCTGCACCATAAAATGTGTTTAAGTCCTCTAGATCTGTGCAAATATTAAAAGAAAGTCTGATATCAAAAAAATTTGATGCATTGAAGTAAGATCAGTATGTCTTTAAGAGCAAATTTAATGTCTTTGGCATTTTTTCACCAAAAAGTCTTACTGCAAAGATTAAAATTTGACAACTCCCATACTGGAGTATATTTCGTCTAATTAGTAATTATTTTTTTCCAGAGGTATTATTACATATAACAAAGTATTGTTTTGTATTAAATAATTAAAATTCAACTTACCGCGGCTAAGATACATTTTGTTGAAAGCTGGAGAAAAATTTTGTATGGGCTTTGTTTGCAAATAATTTTTTTCAAATTCAAATATTATTTTAAGGAAAACCATGGAAAAAAATAAAGGGGTGCAATCAACTACGAATACCATGCAGTGATCATATATATTTTTAAAAATACAACTCTTTGTTACAGGCAGTGCTACCAATCTTCCCAAATGATATAACTCCGGCCCCCCAGGAACTGAACCTGTGGCCCCTGATTGTGGGTCTGGTAGTAGGTGTCCTTCTTATGATACTATTGGGAATCATTCTCTGGAAGGTAAGTTTGTTAGACAGTCGGTGTTTATGTATAGTAGTGGATTTTGGCCTATAGGTGTGGCTTATTTTGAAATATCTGTTGAAGTTGTAGAAAGTTGTATTGACGTACAGTCACTTACTGTGGATTCAAAAATTTTCGTGGGGTTTTAACTTTTGTTATTTTCGAAACGTAAAATTTCCTCAAACCGAGAAAATTAGACCCCACGAAAATATGTGATTTTACAGTATTTGCAGTTGACTATCCAGTTATTTTGTAGGGGTAAAAGCTATTGTCTTTAATATACTGTATTGTTGTAGTCCTACTACATGTAGACATTCTTCATTTAACTTGGCCTTTGACGGTGAAAATGTAGGAATATATTGAATCAACATTATGGTTCCTAAATTTTTTTTTATAAACTTTCTTGAGTAGTATTGTTGGTGTATTCTTAAAGTTCTTTAATAGTGAGAATATATCGCCTTGTATATAATTGAGAAGTTTATAATTTAGTTCCTTATAATTTTATAGCTTGGCTTCTTCAGAAGAAAGAAGAGAGAGGAATTGGACCAATACAAAAGGAAAAGTTATGCCTACCAGAGGCAAAGCCGTGCTTTGTTGCGAGCAACAAAAGATATGGACAAATCTGATAGAGAACTATTGTCTCAATATTCCCAGATAAATTAGTCGTTATTAATTTAGTACAAAGAATGCTTGTTAAGTGAGTTTTTTTTCAAGATTCTTTAAAATTGAATTTTCAAATACAGATACATAATTTTTTTTCAAGTTTTGAAAAATCAAAGTGATGTGAATAATGCAAATCAAGTGATGTGAAGAATGCAAATCAAGCTTCTATAAGACTAAATTCCTAAATGCAGTACATAGTAGCTTTTGTTAAAATGTAAATGTTCAATATTTATAGTTTTCCCCCTCTCAAGACAAACAAAATGCTGCATAGTCGGTAAGAATATAATAAATGGATAGAAATATTCCTTTATGAAATAAATGTTGCAGTATTTTTTAGCGTATATTGATACAGTCTGTAAATTTGAGTATATAACTTGGGAAGGAAAATACTTTGGGCATATTTGTTTATCTTCATCTTAAATATGATTTGATAAAAGGAAAAGTAATATCGTAAATCTGGAAATTTTTGCTGTAGATAAATTTTTAGCAAATTTGCGAATTCGCAAAAATATTTTTCTTAAAAATAAATTTTCAATAAGAAAATGTTTGATCGCAAAATATTGAAACGTAATAATTAATCAACAGCATTTTGACCCGAATTCGCAAAATAAAATCGACGTAAAAATTTCCAGATTTAAGGTAATTCAAATCTCATTCCAAATATGGAATATACTTGAGTGATCTACAGTATGCAGTTGGTGTTAGCTGTTGCGTTGGCAACTACGTTTAGCTGTAAATAGCATGAGATTGATGCAAGAAAATGTGTAAAAACCATAGAATTTAAGTTTGTTTCGAAAGAATAGTGTCAATAATGTAAAAATTCAGTTTCATCTAGTTTTTGTTTGGTATCATCTTTTGGTAAGTTCATAGTATCTTGATAATAATATTATTGATTTCATTATTTTTGTTTTCCAATTATGCCATTTAGCACATTTAATGCCTTTTTAATATAAGTGTTATAATTAAAGAGTTTCAAATTTCAAATTAAAGTTTGTTTTGACACCATACAGTATAAAAATTCATAAAGATTCATCTACTCTTTGTTTGATATCATTTTTTTGGTTAGGTAATAGTTTCAATGAATTATCATGTGTTTTCCAATATGCCAGTTAGCACGTTTAAAGGACTTATCGCATGGTTCATTCATTTTTGAAATTTTGACAGAAATAGAATTCATATGCATCATATCACAATTTATTTCTCTCAAAAACACAATAAACTAGCTTTATTTTAAAGTTAAAGTTAATTAAAATTCCAATCACGCTTTATGCATATTCTACCCGAGATTTTACGCGCCATATTACTTGTGACGTCAAAGGCGACGATTCGAGCGAGAAAGCTGTTCAGACACTGTGTGGATTATCTCCTAATTGGATTAGATAATTACCATTATCTCGTCAGACGTGGTGATAATAGTTGGGTATTAGTGACAATGGTTTATTGTGCTGCCTATGGTTGTTCGAATATTCACAAAAAGGGGAGCGGACTAAGTTTTTTTTAGCTTTCCACGTGATGCTGCACGGAGAAAAGTTTGGACATTTCACTGTCGGCGGAAAGGCTTCGTACCAACATATAACAGTAGATTGTTCTCTAAACATTTCACTAGGTGTCAAATAGAAAGGGATCCAGATAGAATGTTGGTAAATGGGTATTCCAGTGCAAGGATTGGGCTTCGCAGCGACGCTGTTCCAGATGTACCCCTCGGAATCAAGCCCCAGGATGAGAACGCGGCCATTGTTATCCCGTCCAAGAAGCCCCGGGGAGCTTATGTTAAACGACAGCGGGCTGATGTAAGTGTACATCTGTATATCTTATTCACTTATTAAATGATTTATTAATAATAGCAAAAGTGCAGCAAGTCTAAGAAAAATTATCCAGGCCGCGTCTCATGAGTGCACTTGCACTTGTAAATTTTGTGGTTTTAAAACAAGGTGAACTATTAAAATTAGAGGGAAAATAAATGTGATAACGATGCTGGATATTAACAATATTTTCTGTTTATGAGAATTACCGAATTGTTCTCTGTGAATGAGATTGTTTCAGCATTGAATGTCACTTCAATTTCAATTTTTAATTGAATTTATTTTATTATTTATCTTTTTATTTAGGGCTTTTTTTCCCCCATTTTTTTCATAATTTGTTCAAAAAAGATTTAAAAAACTGTCATGTAAAAAGTGTGATAAAGAGGATTTCATGGGTTTATATTAGCATGATCAATATCTGCACATGATACTGTAGGTCAAAGTATGTGTATTGTGCATGTGTAAATATTAAACATTAACAAAAATATTCAGATTCCCTGCCTACATGTCCTACAAGAATTAGAGCCACGAAATGTTGAGGACACATCAACCCAGCACTACCCCCCAGATCCACAACCATTACCGGAGACTACTTCAGATCCCGGAGCTGAAACCACAGTCCCAAAGAAGGAAAAATCCACTATCAACACCCCAATTGCTACAGTGACTCAATCCAAGAAGTGTCAGGCATCTATTCAGGTTCCCCAGAGAACTAGAAGAATCCAGGTCTACATTCCTATTTCATCAAGTGTTCAGACTGTGTCCACTGGAGTCCAATGCTCAAGCCTTTGTGTTGGTGTCCCATTGCGAGTGGCGGTGTGGCAGCAGGCTTAGCAACTTTGCCTGATCTCACCCCCAGGATCCTTACGACTCAGACTCAGAGAGTGATGAGTAGGAGGAAGACAGCCAGAATCCACATGACCCAGATTATGAATATGATCCGCTGGATGATGACGTCTCGAGTGATGAGGACATCGAGGATACCCAGGATATGCCTGTCACTTGTCCATTACGCACAGATGTCCCACCAGAGGAAGAGCGACAACTTTGGTATCCGAATCATGCTTGGCCCAGTTGTTACAGAAATGTGGCTCTTGTGATGGTGTATGTAATTCTGTGTTGCTGTTTACAAGAGGAACTATGATAGGGACACTTTCCACTTGCCCTAATGGACACTCTTTCCAGTGGGAGAGCCAGCAGTGTCATTATGGAATGCCATGGTCTAGCATTCTTGTAGCCAGTGCCATAGTGTTTAGTGGATCCAATGTATCCAAGAGCTTATGTCTCTTTAGACATTTAAAACTCACCATGATGTCAACATCAACCTTTAACTGGATTCAGTCTGCCTATGTGATTTCAGCCTCACCTTTTACTTGGGATTTTCAACAGGAAGAGCTTCTTCGAAACAGTGAAGGAAGGGTCCTAACACTAGGAGGTGATGCTAGGTGTGATTCCCCTGGATTCTCAGCAAAGTTTGGATCCTATACACTCATGGATTTGGAGACAGGAAAAGTCATGGATTTTCAATTGGTTCAGGTACACACACATCATGCTCATGTGTAATTAATTAATATGCTTAAGTTGTTTGTTCATCATGTTTATGTCACTGCATGAAATTATTGTAATCTTAATGCTGTCCCTCTCCCCCCCCCCCCCCCAAAAAAAAAAAATCAACATCATTGCATTTACATGTGTATAAACATGTGCAATGTTATGTAACCAATTATTCAAAATTATATTAATTATGTTTTTTATTGCATTTAGAGTAATGAAGTACCTGGGTCCACTCATATGGAGTTGGAGGGTTTGAAACGCAGTCTTCTTAGACTTTGTAATGCTGGACTTCATGTCCAAACCCTGGTTACAGACAGATACGGTATGATGAAGAAATACATGAGGACAGAACACCCAGACAAAAACCATTTCTTTGATGTCTGGCACATGGCTAAAGGTATATTTGTTAAATATATTTTGATTAAAAATGCAAGTTAAAAATTATGACTTTTTTAACTACTAATTTTTAATATACAGAAGTGTCAAAGAAGTTAGAGGCAGCAGTCAAGAAGAGAGATTGTCAAAACATCAGGCCATGGGTCAAAAGTGCAGTCAACCACTGTTACTGGGTGGCTGTCTCTAGCGGGGAAAATGGGGAACTCAAAGAGCAGAAGTGGGCATCACTGACCCAACATATTGCCAACAAACATGAAAGTTGTGAACATGGAGTATTGGCTGAAGACAAGCTTTGGCTTAAAGAAGGTAGGACACCAAATTTTATCATGTCCTTTTGTCACTTTAAAACTATTGAACTATAAAATAGTTGTCCAATGTGTAAATAAAACTTATCTGTCCATCTCTAAAATAAAGCTTTATAATATCTGCTTTTTAAAGTTATAAATTTAATTTATCATTGATTGACTATTGTTTCCGATAGGTTCAAGGGCCCACAAGCTTTTTCGAGAAGTGGTGGAGAGTAAATTTCTGTTGAAGGACATTGGCAAGTTATCCCCACTTCATCAGACATATGGACTGGAGGTTTACCATAGTGTGGTCAACAGTTTTGCTCCAAAGAACACACACTTTTTTTATCCTGCAATTATGGCCAGGTAGTATTTACAAACATAAAGCATGAACAAATGAATCATTTTCTTTTGAATTTGAAAGAATTTATTTTGATCATAAAATGATCCATAAAGTTTTAAATATGTATAAGTGAATTATGTTTTATTTCAGGCTCTGTGTAGCATCACTACACTTTAATGAAAATGGAAGGAGGCAGCAAGCTTGGCAACTTTTTCAGGTAATTAAAAAAAATTCTCTTGCTGCTCTCTCTCTCTCTCTCTCTCATGCGTATTTGGTTATTTAGAAACGTACTTTAATATTAGATTCAGTGTCTATGCGGTTATGTTTTATATAAATTATGTATTTTGCTCAGAAAAAATCTAAGATTTGTATATATATATACTATGTCGATAAATTTATGAGAAAAATAAGGATAATACGTATGAAATAAGACAAACCATGCTGCATTTCCGAGGCGAGTCTCCTCGTCGTTGCCCTCGTCTTCCTCACTTTCTTCGCTGTTCTCTTGCTGATTTTGTAGATTTTCAGCTGCTAGTGGCTCGAACATATATGGCTGAATATCTAACCTATCAGGGATGTCAACAATATCAGCAATTTGGTCGTCCATAATCGGAAAAGTAGGGTAGGGGTTTGGTAAGAATAACGTGAACAGATGATCGGTATTGTCCCCTTGACGTCACAAGACCACGTGACCCGCAATCTCCTAAACTAATTTTTTTTCAAATCGGAGGTTACATTTGAGCTGATCATTTTCTTAATTACTGAAGTTTTTCAGCAATGCAAATAGAACATCTATAAAGTGTAGTCACAAGGAAGGTATATGCATTCATTTTTTAATAATTGAGAACCATGCGATAAGTCCTTTGATACACGTATATTCGAGAAAGAGGGAATACTCAAATCAATTTGCTGAAATTGACAGTAGATCTTTAGATAATGTAAACGACCTTTCGCTTTAATGTAGAGTCCTGTCAACCTGAGATGTTATCGTCTCGGGAAATGAATGCGGAAACTGCCGCTGTATTTCATGTGACAGTCTATATACACGTAAACAAGATCATACTGTGTGAACTATATATATCTTTTCAGTTTCCAATTTCCTTGAAAAAATGTAGACACAAACCTACATAGATAACAGTTAATTATAAATACAGCTGCTTTTTATAGTAAAGATGGTTCATATTAATTAGTAATCTTTACTTACAAATCGGAAGTTATTTCACTGAATGACTTATAAATGCGGAAATCGAACACTCATCACCCGGATATTGAAATCAACGTCTTATTAATCGACGGTGATTTACTACAATGGCGACAAGCTTGATTGTTGTGAAACTAATTATATTTTTTAGATTTGTGTCTGGATTTAACATTGATGTAGAACAAGCACTGATTTATACGGGGACCGCCGGCTCGTACTATGGGGCGACTACGGAATTGGTTTCCAATGCTCAGGGAAAGTGGTAAGAAAGTATTTTTATCAATAAAAAAACATGCTTCTTCCAAGCATTATGTTTCCCACTTAGTTTATTTCACAAGGATTTTAACAACCACGCTTTATAATTCGATATTTTGCCCAACGGTCGTCATATAATGACCTTGCTTGTTAGCTAAATGTAATTTTCATTGCATTGTATATTGACAGAACGGTTTTATATCAATAGTTAGGCCTTTGTTTTTATTCTGAATTTGACTACTGAATATTCCGTCTGCCAGACCAATACATATAGGGTTCACGGTGGGTTTGACCGGTCAACAAGGGGTGCTTACTCCACCTAGGCAGCTGAACCGTATTTCAAACCCGATTTTTTAAATTTAGAAATTTCTTATTTATTAAAATAGTTCATACGGGTGTAAGTTTAATAGCTACACGTAGCGACCATGAAAAAAATAAGAAAATTTCATGTGTATTATATGGAATATATAATTGATAACTTTTCACAGTTTACATTATTTTGAATAAATGAATAATCCATTGTACAAAATATGACTGTATTCAAAACCTCGCGTATTTTTGACTTCTATAGTCTGATGAGGAAATTCATATTTGACACAATGAACATTTTTATGTATACAATACCTAATAATAAACATTCCGCAAATTACTTCTGTTGAATATAATAAAGATCGTATTACAAGATCAATTAATACAAAAATGGCATTCTGATATTAAAATTTTGTATCAAAGGCATATTTACTTTGCTTATATAAAACTTTTCACAAACAAATTTTGAGTGTGAAAATTATTTAAAATTTTACCATTAAAATGGATATAAAAATACTTAAGGCAATGAAATGTCCGTCTAAGAATCACCGCCAGCTATAAGCTTGGGAAGATGGTTACATGTTTACCATTAAATGAAAGATTATGTACACTTTGTAATTCAAAACATGTTGTCCTGTATACTTATACCTCTGAAGGAATATATTTATGCATTTTAAATATTTTTCATTGTCCTCATGTACCATATATTTTAAATGGTTTTGAGAGAATAAATGAACTTGAACTTGATACCCGCTATTGATAAATAAACGAAGATCGAGCACTATTCATTATCTTTAGCTTTTGAATCTTAGCTTACATTTGAATAAAGGAATATAAAATATTCAATAGCTGGCAAAACCTCGCGTTATTTGTGTGTATAGGTCTTTTTGTATGCAATTGATGAGGAAATTGAAATTTGTCAAAATACGGTAATATTTTTTCAATATATATACACCTTTATACTTTCAGAAATGTAGTAATAAATACCTCTACGCGTAAAAGCGTGACACATTCTTACATGTACATTTTTTTACATAAATTACGAATTTTATATCAACTTGATGATCATGTAAAGGATTTTTTTTTACAATGTGATCTCAATAGTTTCAATGTCTAAATGTTTTCTTGACCCCTGGGTGTAAAATAAAACAACGTATAGCATATCGTATAAAATCAAAACAATGTCATTAACACAAAGCAAATACAACTTAAGGTTCCTTATTTGCAATTTTATATCACTAACACACATTAATGTTAATGGTCATATCTGTAATATATATCTTTATCAACTAAACTATTAAATTTTTTTTAAATAAAAAAAACATACATATGGCGTTCTCTCATGTTGATAGATACCACAGCCTCTCACTATTATGTTACAATATTTTCCTTTGTACAAAGTGGATATAAGCAAAGAGTATGGATTAAGGCAATGTAGATAATGTGATTGTCTAAGAATTCACCGCCAGCTATGAAGGACTGAGATCTTTCGATGATTGGTTACTGACCCTGCTTTATCACAAAGAACCACTCTATCTAATTCATTATTGGTTCCTTCAAAACATTAACGTTTGTCCTCAAGTTAATACACTCAGATGAAAAGGAAACTATTACAAATTATCTGCCATATCTTCATTTTAAAATATCTACATTTACCGATTGTTATCGGCCTTTGTTTTAATACTGAATCTGACTACGGAATGCTCCGTTTACTTGATCAATACATAATCTCACGGCGGATGTGACGTCAACAGGGGATTTTTACTTCTCATCGGGACCTGATCCCACCTCTGGAATTTCCATGGCAGGAGTCTGTTTTTTTCTGCCCGATTCACACACTGCATCGTACATGTATATGGATTTTTTTATAATCGATATTGATGACATCGTTTAGGCTGTGTGAGGATGATATACGCATATCGATACACATGTAGAAATATAGAAATATCGCCATTTTTTTTTTTAAAATATGCATTGAAGAATATAATGTATTTCAAGTCTTTCGATCGACTCTTGATTGAAAATAAGCTATTATGTTGTACTGTACATTAATCAACATTAATTATAGAAGTTAATGGATAGTAAGAAATGTTTATGAAAATATGTGTCTTTAATGGGGAGGATTTCATTTGAAAGATAACTCACTTCTCTACTTATTAAAATAAAGAATACTTACTTACTTTAGTATAGTACATTATAGATAATGAGTCAGTACTGACTTCATCGACTACATGTACTTAGTGGGCCTTATTGTATCACGATGTACTGATGCAGATGAATCGACACTATTAATATGTATTATATATTACCATATATAGTAAATAAAGTCGTTAAATTTGAAATTCAATCTCTTGTTTATTCTTTAGATATTTGAAAATGTCATGTTTGATGGCTTTGGTGAGTTTCTTCTTTTTAGTCTTCGGTTGATTTTTATATAAAAACCATTATAATACATGTTATGTAAACATTAATATTAACGTACTTTTTCGGCTTTTATAATAAAAAAAAATAAACAACAACAACAAAAAAGTATAACATTGAAAAATTTCCCCACAAGAAAACATTGTCAACCTCGGTTTTTCTCTCCCCTTCCCCCAAACTTCGTACAGGTATGTTAAATATGCCGATACTTTAATACAAAGAATGCTTTTATTTTCTACCCAGGATGCTGGTTGGTGCACCGTTGTTTTCAGAATTACTCATAGCATTATAAAATATAGCCTGGTGCCATATATCGTTGTGAAAATAAAACACACCAGATTATTTTTTTCAGCCATCAGGAGCTGTACAAGGATTAATATCAGGGCAGCTGGTAAGTCAACCTCCACCCTCCTCCTCATTCCCCGAATGTTTGTAATTTGTCAATTTTAATTCGTCTGGACAAATAGGTTCATGCTAGCTTTCCGATCGGAGTCTGGTTTTATTTTTTATTTTTTTTTTTTTAATTTTTTTTTATAAACTTTTTTGTCTTGCTGTGTTAATCTTTTATGTTTCTGACCTTTATCAAAAATGTAATAAAAATATAGGACATTGTGATGAAATAAATACTTCGAATTATGCAAATATATATTTTATAGATTTAAATTATTGTGAGAGTTACATATGTTTTTGTAACTTTATATGTTATCGTTACATTAATTTTAAGAGAGTGCATTCCCAAAATTTTTACAACAAAGCATCTAATTTGGATGAAAACCAGGGCATTTTCGGTTTGAAAATGCTGATAAAATAACCGGCCTTTCAATGCTGAGACCATTGTTTA